TATATATCTTTAACATTTGGTAAAATACTATGTGTATACACCTTTAAATGAGAGCATTTTTATTCAGAAGCAGGATTATAAAACATACTTTGTCTTTTTTTATAAACATCTAAACTAATCAGAATATTTTATGTGCAAATCCCAGTATGCAGAAGAAATATATAATATAGATTCAAGAATAAAATAACAAATATTTGCTTTATACCTACTACAAGCATTTTATGGAATCATTAACCCCTTTTATACCTAGAAATATAAATTCTAGACAGTTAGGATTGTGAATAAATGTATGTAATGCTTTTATATTAATTTCTGCAACATGTGTTAAATTAATTCTAAAAGAAGGAAATGTATTGCAGAATTATATATATATCCTATCTCCTCTGTGTAATCGGAATGTGCTGTTAATTGGAACTGCATGTCTATATAATAGATCCTTTTCAATATCCCATACTCCATTATCATCCCTGAAGAAGTGAGTGCAGGCTCACTAAACATGTAGGATCGACGGAAAAGATTGGGACCAGGCCTCACACAGATTCATCAAGAGCGACCGCATTTATTCATTACGAGCGGACGCAATTACTTTCACTTTCTATGTGAGCGGCCGCAACATATTCTATCGGCAGAGCACGCTCTGCTCCGGCAGCTACAAATAAAGGAGACCCCCCATGTAGCAAGACAGCCACAGGGGGAAAAGGATTTCATCTCCACTACCCTGTGCAGCTCCACAAATGGACTCCCTGGCAGTCAGCCAGCAGCACTTACTATTTGGATAGTTTGTAGCAGTAACAGCTTCAAAACTCAGCACTTCTGCAGACCTTACTCTCTTCATATTTAATCAGAAGGATGTCAGCACAAACGCATCCCCAACAGTAAGCTGACAGCAAACTATACAAGGTTGGACTTCCCTCCCCCCCCCCCCTTTTTTTTTTTTTCAGTACTCTGGATTTGTCTGCCATTCCACTCTCATTTTTATTTATATTTTTTCCATATTTTTATTCTATTTTTTATGGTATATTTCTATTTTACCTTATATTTCATTAATTGACACAGTCTCTTTTTTGCTATATAACTTAGTAGTGTGCACACTCAGTATGTCAATAATTATTATTGTACAATGTTTTTTTTGTCATTGTATTTTAAATATATTTTTAGACTTCATATAAGATTCAATAAATGTTTATATGTTTATCAACATGTGATTATACTGTATTTTTTGCGCTACCTTCTGCAAAAATCTGTACGTCAGCTCTCAGCTCTCCCACTCCCTGCCTCTCTGTTTCCCCAGGAGTTGCATAGCACACCAGGCAATCCTCTCCTCACTCTGTCGGCCCCCTCAGCCGCGTTCCATGAGGAAGCAGCTATGCCCACTACGTCATCGCTCCACCCAGCTCTGCGAGCTGAGAGAAATTTACTATGCTCTGTTGGGTTTTCAGCAGTACTCGAAAGACTCCTGGGTAAGAATCTAAATGGACAACAGAGCTGTGGCATCCTGCATAAATCACCAAGGTGGAACCTGAAGCAAACATCTTTTGTAGGAATTAGTTCCTCTAATTAAATTTGCCAGATCAAATTACAAGATCTAAAGGCGTTTTACCTTCCAGGTCCAGAGACTGTATTGGCAGACTACCTGAGCAGGACTATGATTCTCCCAGGTGAATGGAAATCACATACAGAAGTGTTTCAGATGATATCAATGCGATGGGGCACACCCCAGATCAACTTAATGGCTTCTAACAAGAATACCCAAGTCCCTATATATTTCTCTCTCCGAGCAGGCAATCAATCAGCCGCCCAAAATGCCCTTTCTCTTTCCTGGGAATTCAATCTTGGGTATGCATAACCCTGGCCTACCAACTATTCACCGTTTACAGAGAAAAAATTGGAAGGAAGGAAGATTATTGCTATCATCCCGATTTGGCTGAGGAGACCTTGGTATCCAATCCTGAACAGAATGATCCTGGATCCTCCTTGGTCATTTCCTCAGAGACCGAACTTACTAATTCAAGGACCAGCAGTTCATCCAAATCCCAGCCAGTTGAAATGGGGGGCTTGGCTTTAAAAAAGGGAAGACTCCTAAAACATGATTTATCTGAATCTGTGGTTGAAACACTTTTAAAATCCAGAAAGAATTCCACACCAGCTTGCCATCACAGAATATGGTACACTTTTTGTTCATGCTCAAACCAAAATTCCATTGACTTCCTCAATCCAAATAATATTGATATTCTAAATTAACTTCATGAAGTACTGGCGAGAGGTTTAAGTCTAAGCACCTTAAAGGTTCAGTCATCAGCATTATCTGTATTATGAAAAATCTCATGGGCATCAGATCCCCTGATTGCAAGATTCTTTAAAGCAGCTATACGTTTAAGACCTCCGGCTGGAAAGTATTTACCTATTTGGGATCTGCCTATGGTTCAAGATTTATTGTCAGATACCCTCTTTGCTCCATTAGACAAGTTGGGTGTCATATTTCTGACATATAAGATCTTGTTCTTTGTGACAATAACCACAGCTAAATGAATGTCTGAGATTCAAGTATTTTCTATTTATTTTATTTATTTATTATTGCCATTTATATAGCGCCAACAGATTCCGTAGCGCTTTACAATATTATGAGAGGGGATTTAACTATAAATAGGACAATTACAAATAAACTTACAGGAACAATAGGTTGAAGAGGACCCTGCTCAATCGAGCTTACATTCTATAGGAGGTGGGGTGTAAAACACATTAGGACAGGAATTTGCAATCAAATAAGGTGGGCTGCCCTTTAGGAGAGGGCAAGAGACAGGTATGTGAGGTAGGGGTTAGTCTTGGAGGCCATAAGCTTTCCTAAAGAGATGGGTTTTAAGGCACTTCTTAAAAGATGCAAGACTAGGGGAGAGTCTGATGGCGGGAGGCAGGCTATTCCATAGGAAGGGAGCCGCCCGCGAGAAGTCCTGCAAGCGCGAGTTGGCCGTACGGGTGCGGACAACGGACAGGAGGTGGTCACGGGCAGAGCGGAGAGACCGAGAAGGGACATACCTATGGATCTGTGAGGAGATATAAGAGGGGCTAGAGTTGTTCAGTGCTTTATAGGTGTGAGTTAGTGCCTTGAATTGACTCCTATAGCACACAGGAAGCCAATGTAAGGACTGGCAGAGGGGTGAGGTGTGAGAGAACCGACTAGAGAGGAAAATCAGTCTAGCAGCAGCATTCATTACAGACTGTAGGGGTGCAGTACGGCTTTTGGGAAGACCAAGCAGGAGAGGGTTACAATAATCCATGCGTGAAATTATTAGAGCATGGACAAGCTCCTTGGTAGTATCTGGTGCAAGAAAGGGGCGGATGCGGGCTATGTTTTTAAGATGGAATCTACAGGATTTGGCAACATGCTGGATGTGAGGCTCAAAGGTGAGACCAGAGTCAAGTATGACGCCAAGACAGCGCGCTTGCAAGGATGGGCTGATGTTGGTACCACAAACTTGAAGGGAGAGCGAAAGAGGAGGATCAGTATTAGGAGGAGGAAAGACAAGGAGCTCAGTTTTTGAGAGATTGAGTTTCAGAAAGCGGGAGGACATCCAGTCAGAGATGGAAGAAAGGCAAGCAGTGACACGTTGCAGGACAGCAGGGGAGAGGTCCGGGGAGGAGAGATATAGCTGGGTGTCATCAGCGTACAGGTGGTAGTGGAATCCAAATGAGGTAATAAGTTTGCCAAGAGAGGCAGTATAAAGAGAAAATAGAAGGGGACCAAGGACGGAGCCTTGGGGGACTCCAACCGAGACAGGGCGAGGGGAGGAGGTATCATTAGAAAAAGAGACACTGAATGAGCATAGGGAGAGATAAGAGGAAAACCAGGAGAGGACAGAGTCACAGAGACCAAGCGATTGCAGAGTTTGAAGAAGGAGAGCATGATCAACGGTGTCAAAGGCCGCTGAGAGGTCAAGAAGAATTAGTATGGAGTAGTGGCCTTTGGATTTAGCTGCGATTAGGTCGTTAGTAACTTTGATAAGGGCAGTCTCTGTAGAGTGGAGAGGGCGGAAGCCAGATTGAAGGGGGTCAAGGAGAGAGTTGGAATTGAGGAAATGAGACACACGGGTAAAGACAAGTCTTTCCAGAAGCTTTGAGGAAAAAGGGAGCAGGGATATGGGACGGTAGTTAGAGGGGGTGGACGGGTCGAGGGATGGTTTTTTTAGTATAGGTACTACAGTGGCATGTTTAAGGTCAGCAGGGACGATGCCAGAAGAGAGCGAGCAGTTGAAGATGTGTGTTAAAGAAGGCACGAGACAAGTGGAGAGAGATCTGATAAGGTGAGATGGGACAGGATCGAGCGGGCAAGTGGTGGGGCGAGAGGAGCAAAGAAGAGCAGCCACCTCTTGGTCAGTGGCTGGGGAGAATGTCTGAAGGGTAGGAAAGGCATGATCTATGTGTGATTGAGAAACAGAAAGGCAAGGAGGGGAGAATTCTTTCCTTAGCTGTTCAATTTTGTCAGTGAAGTAACATGCAAAGTTATCAGCAGTAAGGTTGGTTTGGGGGGTGGCCACAGCGGGGCGAAGAAGAGAATGAAAGGTGTCAAAGAGACGCCTGGGGTTGCGGGAACATGAACTGATGAGAGAGGAAAAATAGGACTGTTTGGCAAGGGCAAGGGCTGCACTGTATGAACACAATATGAATCTATAATGGAGACAGTCTGACTGGGTGCAAGACTTCCTCCAGGAGCGTTCAGCACAACGGGAGCATCTTTGCAGGTAGCGCGTTGATTTAGTATGCCACGGTTGGGGGCGGGCTTGTTTGGAGTGGCGCTGCAGTGTTCAAGGCAGATGTAAGAGTAGAGTTATATATGGAGATGGCCAGTGAAGGACAGGAGAGGGAAGGGATGGACAGCAGTTGTGAATCAATGTCAGCTGACAACTGTTGGAGATCAAAAGAATTAAGGTCCCTCCTGAGTTGAGGGTGGTTAGGCGGAGGTTGTTGGGTGAGGGGTACGTGAGAGCAAACAATAAGAGGTGGTGATCAGAGAGTGGATACGGAGTGTTGCAGATATTAGATACAGTACATGCATAAGTGAAGATTAGGTCAAGGGTATTGCCAGCTACATGGGTGGGAGAATTTGCCCACTGTGATAGGCCGAGGGAGGAAGTAATTGAAAGAAGTTTATTGGCTGCAGAGGTCAAAGGTGGGTTTATAGGAATATTGAAGTCCCTGAGAATTAGGGATGGGATGTTAGAAGAGAGGAAATAGGGTAGCCAGGCAGCAAAGTGGTCAAGGAAGAGAAGAGGGGAACCAGGGGGACGGTAAATAACAGCAATGTTAGCAGAGAAGGGTTTGAAAAGGCGAATTGAGTGTATTTCAAATGACTGGAAAGAGAGGGAAGGGGGGGTGGGAAGAGGTTTAAAAGAGCAGTGAGGGGAGAGGAGAAACCCAACACCACCACCTTTACTTTCAGAGTTTCTTGGGTTGTGGGTAAGTTGGAGACCACCAAAGGACAAAGATGCAGGGGTGGCAGTGTCAGAGGGGGAGAGCCAGGTTTCAGTTAAGGCTAGTAAATCTATTGAACGAGAGATGAAGAAGTCATGGACAGCAGTGGATTTAGTTATATTGCAAACAGAGCGTGCATTCCAGAGGGCAGTATTGAAGGAGGATTTAGAGGAACAAGAGATGGGTATGAGATTAGTGTGGATCCTTGGGTTAGTATGTGCTGAGTTTGTAGAGAGGGGGCCGGGGTTTGGAGAGACATCACCAGCTGCTAGGAGCAGAAGGATAGAAAGGAAGTGAAGGTGGGAGTAGGATTTGAAAGTTTTGTAGGAGGGTATGTATGTAGAGGAATTGGAAAGAGTTGGTGGAGATAGGCTGGAAAGGTATGTGTAGAGTGCATGGGATGAATAGAGAGGGGAGGTGAGTAAGGTGGAAGTAATGATGATGGTGTTGCCAGGGACAGGTGAGTGAAAGGATAGGGATATTTTAGTAATTACAGAAGTTAGTGTTAAAGTGAAAAATAGAAGGGAGAACATTAGAGAAAATGTGTATTATATCGATATGTAGATCATATATACAAGCACACACAAATATCAATGAGTGTTTAAACCATTGTAAGGATGGAGTGTGTTAAATGAATTCAGGTGAGGAGTGGTTTAATGACTTGATTGGTGTGTTATGGAAACTTGCTGATGTGCACTATCTATAAATAAGTTGATGACCATTGGGTGGGATGGTTGGCAATCTTCCAGAGATAATACCTCTGCTCTGAAGATTCAGCAGGACTTGGTTGCTTGGGAGTGCTGGGTGTTAATGCTGTTTTAAGGGGCCCAATCTGAAATAGAAGGTCTGAGGTTAGAAAAAAAAATGAAATAAAACACACTGTTATGGGAGGGGAGACATGGGGCTATTGAGGTAATTAATTAGAGATAAAAAACTAAGGAGAGAACATTTGGGATAAAAAGATAGGAAGGATCAGATAGGTGAAAGTCATAAACCATGAACATAAATTTACTAAATTATCAGTGAGAGTAGTAACACTAGCTAAACAAACAATTAACAAAGAGTCTAAGAGAATGAACATAAAATGACATGATCATACCAGCAAAAACAGAAGATCAGGATGGGAGATATAGTTATCAAGTAGTGATAGTATAGGGAGGGAGATGGAGTAGAACACAACTTGAAAATAAGAGTTTAAAAGGAAACAGTAATGCAGGAATTCTTGAGTTGATCTTCCAGAGATAATACCTCTGCTCTGAAGATTCAGCAGGACTTGGTTGCTTGGGAGTGCTGGGTGTTAATGCTGTTTTAAGGGGCCCAGTCTCTGCTCTGAAGATTCAGCAGGACTTGGTTGCTTGGGAGTGCTGGGTGTTAATGCTGTTTTAAGGGGCCCAGTCTCTGCTCTGAAGATTCAGCAGGACTTGGTTGCTTGGGAGTGCTGGGTGTTAATGCTGTTTTAAGGGGCCCAGTCTCTGCTCTGAAGATTCAGCAGGACTTGGTTGCTTGGGAGTGCTGGGTGTTAATGCTTCTAGTGACGAAGACCATTTTCTGATCTTCCATGATAGAGTGACTTCTTACCAAAGGTGGTTTCGCAATTCCACATTCTCCAGGAAGTTATCATTCCTTTCTTTTATCCAAATCCTTCTGCAGAGGAAGAAAAACATAATCAGTTAGATGTTAGAGATTAACAACAACAATAGGGGTCAGCGCTAATAAGTAAAAGTTGAACAGTGTGTGTTAGGCAGCAAACCAATGCAAGGATTTCCCTCAAATTACCCTTGAATAGAATAGGAGAAAGGAACACAAAGGTAGGGTAGGGCTGCACCCCAATACAACAATATAATATAGGTATATTAATATATAATTTACAAAGTCTTGTGTAGGATGCTTGAAACCACTAAGGTTTAAGAGTCAGACGAGGATATTCCTTACCAACATCCGTATAAAATATAAAATATTAGATAAAAGTATAATAACTAGGCTAACTGCTCTATGATGACTTAATAGGTTGTATGATCCCCACCTAGGATTCTTTGGAGTAGAACAGGATTAAAATTGTAGATGCCAGGTTGATAATAAAAAATAAAAATATTAATAAAATAAAACATGATGGCACACGGCATAAAGTAACCAAAATCTATTTATTAGTTAAAAAGCAAGTATAACATACATCCAAATGCGTTTCACCATAAAATGCTTTATCAATGGAGTATAAACTGGAGTTTAATAAAATATCTGGAGGTCACTCAATAACTTCAGAACTCTCAACATTTATTTGTTCTTCCAACAGGATCCAGAAAAGGAGAAACAGCTTCAACCTCTACTTTGAGACGATGGATCTCTAACAATAATAAAGGCCTATCAGTTGAGAAATCTATTTCCTCCTGAAAAAATAAAGACTCATTCTACAAGTACATAAGCAGCCTCCTGGGCTTTCATCTGATGACCTCAGTAGGGCAGCCACCTGGTCCTCTCCAATTACCTTCATCAAGCATTATAAGCTTGATTTGGCTTCTTCCTCTACAGCATTGGGTAGAGGTGTATTATCCTCAGTTGTATCTCACAAATAAAAGTATTGTTGCAGCAAGTTCAGAATCATTGTTTATTAATTTCTTCCCACCCATGTGTTTTGGCTTGGGTATTACTCATAAGTGATGTTGCCATGATTAGCCAGGAATACAGAAAATGTTATCATACTTACCGTAATTTTATTTTCCTGGCTATTATTCATGGCAGCATCAGCAACCCTCTCTTGCTTGCTCTTGCTTGTTCAAAGCTTTTAAACTAGACTGTGGGGTAGAGGGAGGAGGGACCTTTTATTCTTACAGTCTGGTTCTAATTCATTAATTGTTTTCTGTCCTGTTCCTGTTGGGGCAGAGCTACCCATAAGTGATGCTGCCATGAATAATAGCCAGGAAAATGACAGTAATTATGATTACATTTTCTGTATTTTTTGCACGTTCAGTCATATTTTCAAAATCAATGCCAAAATTTCATAATTTCTGCCAGGGTATGCAAACCTTTGAGTAAAACTACAAATATTGTTTCCGAGTGGAGACACAACACCCGGTACAAAAACACACTTTGTAGTACAAGCCAATGGTCAACGTCATCTGTGTAGTATCCGAACGCTACCATTATACCGGATAACTGCCTAATCATAATTAAATCTCACATTACAGAAGTAATACAGGAGTCTAAACATGAGAGGCCAAATGAGGAGCTGAATGCGACACTGATGCATATCAGTTAAAATTACATGAGGCCGCAGTGTATAATAATTGTAAAGTAAAAGCGCTGGGAACTAAAATAGACTGCCGAGCTGAGGTGGTGGTAATGGTGGTTCCCATGGTGATGCGCTCCAGTGACTACATGGTGCTGAACAATAGAGTCAGGAGCACAAACTGGCACCACAATGCAGTCTTGGTCTATGCTCCTTCTTTTATCCCTCTATTGACTAATTCTCAATTGATCTGTGAATAAAATTACACATTTAGTGGCGGCGGGACCCTAACAATCAATTCTCTTTTATGTGGACGGACCTCTGAAATATAAATCAAACAAAATGGACCATACATTGTCTGTTTCATTTGTTTTGGCATTGCAATTGCAATATTGCAATTCAGAGTTACAGACTTTGGACAACTCGATATTTCAAAATTTTAAATGAATTGTGATTGTGTTTGAAATTAAATGAACATGTCTAATGCATATAACAATTAACCAACCACCACAATCACACTCAGCAACCACACACATACCACTCAGGAGTATTTCTTAGGGGTTAGGAGGCAACATGGGGCTCTTTTTTATTCTTGCACTGGTATACAGTGGATTACGGTTAGGCCCCTGGCTGGAAACATTTGTAGAGTAAGATCCTTTTCTGAAAATCTATACATTTACTAGCTATTTAGCTGCTGCGGTCATAAAAATTACCCCCTAGTGCCCAATCTTTTGCAGAATGCAAATAACTGATCACAAATAGACTCTTGTTATCTCTCTCCTTTTATCTTTTATATATAATTTACCCTCCGAAATATAATTCTGCCTACCTACCCCTATGATGTACTGGAAGTGTGCCGATACTCTTTTTATTTGTAATGGTTGTTAGTGTAAGTAATTTGTTTGCCATCTATTTTTATATGCACTATGACTATTGTTTGTTCATAATAAATATTTTTTTATTAAGTTATGCCATTGTCTGATAAAGACTCTCAATACCTGATTAGATCACTTTACTGATAATTTGAAATTACATAGATAATGTGTTAAATTGTATTTGGTGGGTTTTTCTTCTTCTTCTTCTTCTTATATTTATATAGTGCCAACAAATTACATAGTGCTTTACAATGGGTGGACTAACAAACATGTAATTGTAACCAGACAAGTTTGAAGCACAGGAAAAGAGAGGTTGAGGGCCCTATGCTACAGAGAGTGGGGTAAAGTGACACAAAAGGTAAGGGAAGTGTAGGGAAGTAGATTTGTAGAATAGTATTTACCAAAGACTTATTGTGTTGTTTTGTTTTGTTTTTGCAGGAAATGAATCAATTGGGAGCCATTAACAGTTTAATTGATATGGTTTTGTGAAAAAAATATTTTTTAATGATTTTTTAAAGGAGTGGAGACTTGGTGAGTGTCTAACGGAAAAGGTAAGGGAGTTCTACAGGAACGGTGCAGCCCTAGAGAAGTCTTGAAGGTGAGCATTAGAGGTGGGAGTTTGAACAGAGGATAGACGTAGGTCTTCGGCAGAGCATAGGGGCCTAGACGGGACATACTTGTATATTAGGGAGGATAGATAGGTGGGAGTAG